TAAATATATTTACCTTTAATATGTATTTCGATGTATATATTAAATTTTTTTTTTTAAATGCAAAATCAAAATCAAAATATACTGTTAGGCCCAAGACCAAATACAGCCCAGGGTATCATTGAGAGTCCTAGTTCTTGAAGATAGAGGCCCAACAGACTCGACCCTAGACAAGCCCAGGAGCATCTTGCATGGGGTGCGATTTCTGCTAATGCAAATTCGAATCCTTTCATTACATATTTTTATATTTACAGTTAGGCTGATTTTGATTTAATTTGTACGTTATTTTAAGATTAATTTGTTTTAAAAAAATTTAAAACACTATTTATATCAATTTAGTATATTTAAAGTAATTTCAACAACCTAAATAACTCAATAATTATCTCATTTCAGTACTGAAAATAAGAAATCTTGAGTTTGAATCACATGATATGCGAATGAAATAAGATAAATGATGAGAGACAGTTGCTTCTCATTGTGTAACTAAGATAAAAAATATATATATATTTAAAGTAATTAATTTCCCTTAGTATTAAGTATTAACATTATTAAGAATTGAATTAAAGATTTGCCTGATATCAACAAACATAAAACTAGTGGAAGAATAAAGATCTAATTACCAATGGCTTCTAGTTTTTTACCTTTTAAAGAAAGGCCTCTCTAAATTTGAGGACCCTCCTGCTCAAGTATATGAATATCTTATGAAATGATGCTGATGCTGTGCATGCCAAAAGCCTTTAGATTAATCATTGCCCAAGAACCACTTAATATAAAAATAATAATAATAAATATTTAAATATCAATGTTATAAAATAAAAGTCTCCCTAATTACTTATTTGTTTGAATGCAAAAAAACTTAATTTTTTTTTTTGTAAAATCAAGTTCAAATCATATAAATAAAAAAATAAATGCTGAAAGAGTTTTTCTTTTATAAAATTTTATTTGATTTAATTTTAAATTAATTAAAATTTAATATAACATTTAAATACTAAAATTTAATAAAAAAAATAAAATAAAATAAAAATCTTTTACTTTATAATCTAAACTATATTCAACTGTAAAAAAAAGTTTTTCAATAAAATCAAGAGCACGCTAATATACTGTATGTTAATTAATTTAGACTGGCAATGAATTTTAACCCTCGCTCCGTCGGGCTCGTCATTCTCACTTTGTCCGGCGTGGCTTTATTGGCAAGTCAGGGTTTCTGGACGCTCAACAGTTTCACATCGTCAACAACTGGCCCACAGAGCGACGAGAAGTCATCCCTTCTCATGTTGTAAAACGTACTTAGGAACATGATGCGGGTCCTTGTGGACACCGCTTTGAACCGGAGCACGGCGCACTTGAAACCTCCTTTTCCTTTGGACCCGTAAGGGACCTTGATTGTTTCCCTACAGGCGAACGCCTCCATGATCATGGACCCTTCACGGGCGTTGTTTGGCGTCCCCCACGGAGAATGAGAGAGTGTAAGATTTGTCCGGAATGGTTCTTGGGATCCGGACCATGACGCTCTCTTTTCCAGCCACGAGCTCCACCGCTTGCGGCCCCTGTGGGACCGAAAAGGGAGCGGTGTCTATGTACTAAACGGCTTTGAGGGATTCCACCATCCATCCTGGCAGTGGAGAGTGATCGTCCTCGATGTTGGGTGGCAGCACTCCCCAACAAGTGTTGGGGAAGATGTACGGACATTCTTCGAACCCTCCATTCTTCAATATGTTCTCTGTAAAAGCAAAATACTTAAGTCAAAATTTTGTTTACATAGAATGCAAGTAGATACAAAGTGTATATAATATAAGTTTATAAACATCTACCACCTGTTGATCCGAATATATATATATATATATATATATATATAAAAGTTTATAAACAATTATTAAGTGGAGTGCAGTTTGGAAACAAATTTAGAGAAAACCCGCAGTCTGCAAGATCAACTTACTGTTAGTTAGCCTAGGGGGATAAAGAGTCCTGATTCCAACCTCATCAATGAGTGGTCCACAAGCCGGATCCTCCTCCACTTCCGGATTATGAATAACAATCTCTGTCACATCACTCGGTGCCTGAAACGCCCATGCATACGAGTACCGTCCATTGCTGCTGGACACCGTCAATGCTGAACGTGTCGGTAGCGCCTGATTCCGGCGTGCTGCCCATTCAAACGGTGCCCAGCAGCAATGGGTGGGACTAGTATGCATGTACTAGTGCATCCCCTTGGTCATATTCAGCCTCTGTTTCATGGACGCCTAGTTCCCTAGCCTCACTGCAAACACACCCTCTGGGACCACCACCAGCATGTCTCCTTGCTTCTGCCCTGATTTTATGTACCCTAAAAAGCCCAAAATTTCCCATTATGGAATTACATAAAGGTCGCCAATCACCACGGTGCCATTGAGGTCTGATTTTTTTGATCCCAGCTCGAAATCCCCATTACCTAACAGCCCTGGATCAGAAATACCAGAGGTGTAATTAATGTATACTCCAATATCTTGCAGAAATGGAAGACACAGATTATCTCAAACACTAAAAGCTAAGATACGCTGCATGATCCAACCAATGAGTAACAGAGATGGATTAAAGAAGAAAATTACTAGTACATCTGTACATGTTTAAAATTGTTTCCCTTTTTACCTCTGAAAAAGAAGGAAATCAGTATCAAGTATCAAATTCATGGATCAAATTAAGTCGTTTTCATATGCAAAATTCTGCAGACAAAAGGGGCTTAAATGCAGGACACATTTTAATTAATTAGCATATCTTGATTAATATGATCAAATGCTCACCATCGGTCAGGGATAAAGATAGGTGGGAGGTGGCGCAAAGGAGCACCTACGGCAAAACGGACCTTAGCATTGCGAAAAATGATATGCAGATTTTGAGAGAGGAAAATGAGATATACTCAGAGCAGAGAACTGGGGAGAGAATGGGTTTATATGCATGCCGAGGAAGAAGAAGATGCTTGGATTTGGAAAAAATTACACTGGCGGTTGGCCTTGCATGGGAACAAGGGAGATGGGTGTTTTGTCGAATTGAATGTCACATGGTCTTACTCCCCAAAGTTGTTGCAAAACTCATGTAATACAGCCCTAATTATGGCTCTACTTTATTAGTTCCCAGTTGCGAAGGCTCATGTTCGTCCTTTAATCATACGCTAATAACAAACTAAAATCACTGTTCTTTTTTGATATGCTAGAGTAGGTTCTGTCATGTGGGGAAGGGGAACGTGGGGAGAGAGTATACGTTGAAATTCTTGTTATAGGAATATGAAAGGTTTTTTTTATAAAACCGATAAAGTCATTTTAATTATAAAGCATTTATCCTAAAATAATAAAATCTTAATTCTTAACTTCTTAGGTAAATTAAAATTTTGTAAATGTAGTTTTTTTTTTTTTAAAAAAAGCAAATGAATTTTATTGTGAGTACAAAGGGTATTCAAACCCTTAAATATTAGTACATAAAATTATATGTAGATAATGTGATCAAGACAAAATCATCCAATAATCCAAAAAATAGATCCAAAAGACAAATACTTCTATAAAATCTTTATATCTTGTTTGTCAAGTATCTCATTAGATTAAAAATTCATTCCATGTAAAATTTTTTTTTCAAATTTAACAGATTTCTAACCCAATGAAATAAGCGTTGTTATCGTCTAAAACATCAATTTTCGTATAAATGGTCGAAAAATGAAACTCCGCCACAAAATTAATTGAAACACGTCCCTTCCAAACTCGATTATCAGCGCAGGCAAATATAAATTAATGAAGGGGTTTAAATGTCTAAAACCTAAGTAACCGAGTCATAGAATATCATTTGACATAGAGGTTCTGTGGACCAGCAGTACATCGTGAGTTTTTTTTTTTTTTAATTAAGATAATTATTTACAACTATTAAAGGAGTGGGAGAAGGGGAACTGAGAGTTAAAACTTAAACTTTTCAACTTTGTTTTCACGTTAAGGAGAGTGAAATCAATTTGTACACGATATGAAGAACAGTAATATATTATGAATTAAATAAAAGGATACTAGAGGATTATTACACTTAAAAAAAAAGACTATTATTTCAAAATAAAGAACCATAACTCTTTTTATTTTAAAATATGAGTCATTAAATTTTTTTTTGCATGTATGTATATAATTGATAATTATTTTATTAAAATAAAATTACATAACAAAAACTACGCATAGAACAATAAAAATTTCAATTATCCATTTAAAATACTATAAAAAGATAATATAACTTTAAAATATATTAAAAAATTAAATTGACTTATATTTTGAAATAAACATAATTATAAATAAAAGGATTCTTCTAACCTATACTTTTTAGGATATAAGTTAAGAATACATTTTTAATATTAATTGTCATTGAAATGTAAAATTTAATATTTATTTAATCAATTATCTAATTAAAACAATACATATAATATTAATGATAAAATTAATATTAATTATTATTTTAATAT